GGCACGTTTGGTCTTGAAGTGTAGAAGGAATGTAGAGAAAAGTGAGAAGATGTTTATAATGGTGGTGGTGGTGGTGGTGGTGGTGGTGGTGGTGGTGGTGGTGATGGTGGTGGTGGTGGTGGTGGTGGTGGTGGTGGTGGTGGTGGTGATGGTGATGATGATGATGATAACGATGATGATGATGACAGGCGCGGATCCAGGGGGGGGGCCGAGCGGGCCTTGGCCCCCCCCCCCGCAAAAAAAAAAAAAAAAAAAGAGAGAAGAAGGAAAAGAAGGGAGAAAGGGAAAAGGGAAAGAAAGAAGAGGAAGAAGAAAAGTAAAGGGGGAAGAAGGAAATCGGGGGGGGGGCCGAAAGGGCCTTGCCTCCCAGGCTGTTAACCCCCCCCCCCCCCCCAATCAAAAAAAAAAAAAATAAGAGAGAAGGAAGGAAAGGGAAAGAAAAAAAGGAAAAGAGGAGATACTGGCGTACTGATAGAGGGGGGGGGGCTTGGGGGAAATCAAATTCAAACGTGGTTTATTTCTGATTCCACAACGATGTATTACAAATAATGCTGAAATGACATAATTTCCGAAATTTTTCCTCACTTTTTAGTAAATTATACGTTTGTATGTGTTTGTTGGAAAATAAAAAAAAATCCTAAATTTACAACCAGGCAAAAAATATGATTCTTGAGATTCCTACGTGTCAGGGCCCGAGGTACGGCGGGGATCAAGAGCCTCGAGGCATCAAAATATGCTCATCTGACCGTGATTAAATGCCTAAAACCCCTAAGCTTCCATGGGCGGTGCCCCCTGGATTCCATCTAGGGCCCTACGGCGGCCTCTTAGATGATCATCTGACGGTAATTTAATGCCTAAAACCCCTGATTATTTGGGGCTCCGCCCCCTGGACCCCACGCCAAAGTGACTTGCCAGTGTCACAAAATAATAAGGTATACACAAAAATATGCTCATCTGACCTTAATTAAACACCTAAAACCGCTGGGCTTCCGGGGGCCGGCTCCGCCGCCTCGACCCCACCTCTTTGAAATTCAGACAAGGATTAAGAGTATAGAGAACGGTACAACGCATCGTTTTCTTTCTCTAATGATTTAATGAAATGTAGAAGCTTCCGCGCTTCGCGCAGGAGGGGGAGGGGGAGGAACTGAAATTAGACAAGGATTAAGAGTCGAGAACTGTACAACGAATCGTCTTCTTCTCTAATGATTATATGAAGATTAAAAGCTTCCGCGCCTCGCGCGGGAGGGGGGAACCTGAATTCAGACGAGGATTAAGAGTCGAGAACTGTAAAACGAATCGTCTTCTTTCTCTAATGATTTAATGAAACGTAGAAGCTTCCGCGCTTCGCGCAGGAGGGGGAGGGTGAGGAACTGAATTTAGACAAGGATTAAGAGTCGAGAACTGTACAACTAATCGTTTTCTTTCTCTAATGATTTAATGAAATGTAAAAGCTTCCGCGCTTCGCGCGGGAGGGGGGGGGGAACTGAAATCAGACGAGGATAAAGGGTCGAGAACGGTACAACGTATCGTCTTCTTTCTTTAATAGTTTAATAAAACGTCAAAGCTTCCGCGCTTCGCGCAGGAGGTGAGGGGGTGGCTGAATTTAGACAAGGATTAGGAGTCGAGAACAGTACAACGAATCGTCTTCTTTCTCTAATAATTTAATAAATCGTAAAATTTTCCGCGCTTCGCGCGGGAGGGGAAAAACTAAATTCAGACGAGAATTATTTTCGAGAACGGTACAACGAATCGTCTTCTTCCTTTAATAGTTTAATAAAATGTCAAAGCTTCCGCGCTTCGCGCAGGAGGGGGAGGGGGGGAATGAATTTAGACAAGGATTAAGATTCGAGAACTGTACAACAAATCGTCTTCTTTCTCTAATAATTTAATAAGTCGTAAAATTTTCCGCGCTTCGCGCGGGAGGGGAAAAACTAAATTCAGACGAGAATTATTTTCGAGAACGGTACAACGAATCGTCTTCTTTCTTTAATAGTTTAATAAAACGTCAAAGCTTCCGCGCTTCGCGCAGGAGGGGGAGGGGGGCTGAATTTAGACAAGGATTAAGAGTCGAGAACTGTACAACGAATCGTCTTCTTTCTCTAATAATTTAATAAGTCGTAAAAAAGGAAAAAAACTAAATTCAGACGAAAATTATTTTCGAGAACGGTACAACGATTCGTCTTCTTTCTCTAATAATATAATGAAACGTCAAAGCCTGGGAGGGGGAACTCGCCCCCCCCCCCGCATTACGTCACTGTTGGTCACCATAACGTACCAATATTTGGCTCGCATAATTTCAAATTTGGGCCCCCCCCCCCTAAGAAATCCTGGATCCGCGCCTGGATGATGATGATAATGATGATGATGATGATGATTATTATTATTATTTTGATCTATGCTAATGATGATGATGATGATGATGATGATGATGATGATGATGATGAAAGTGAAGATGGCTGTAAAGTTTTTTAAAGAAAAGAGAGTAAAAGAATATGTAATTGAATAATAGTCTCAGCCATTTTTAATGAGAATGCATGAAAGTGTGGAATCATGCATCCGCATACGAATTTCATTTTCCCTTGTTCTTCAAGGTGATAGACATTTTTAGAGTGTAGAATTGTAAACAAATCTATAAAAACATGAATTGTGAAAGAATATAAAAGATATAGAATAATACCTCTAATAATAGTCTAGATTTTGTCTCTTAGTGATGGATATGATAAGGATAAAAAATTGAATAGCTACTCGCACACACGTTGCACTGCAAGCAAAATAAACGAGTTTCCGCTCAGTGAGAAAGAATGAATGATGGCGGCAGTTCATGTAGAACGCCAAAGCACGCTCAATGCGTCGTCATGGCAACGGAGGATGTTACCGATAAGTTGTACCGAACGTGACAATCGACAATGATACGATGTTAAATTGTTTCGCAATAAAGTGATGAGGTGTACAAAAAGGTGTGAATACGAATAGGGATGACATAGAGGGGATAGAGAGAGAGAGAGAGAGAGAGAGAGAGAGAGAGAGAGAGAGAGAGAGAGAGAGAGGGTGAGAGAGAGAGAGAGAGAGAGAGAGAGAGAGAGAGAGAGAGGAGAGAGAGGGGGGGGGTGGGGTGTGAGGTGGCTGGGAGGTGGCTGGAAAAGAACGCATAATCGTTTAAAAAAAAGTATCTAACGCATTTAAAAAATCTAAAAAATCGATCAGTATAATTCGATAATTTTGAGGACTTCATGACACGGCGTGATTTATGCTCTCTAGAATTTCTCGGTCGGCGATGGAACATGTTTCTAACGTTTTTTTATAATAATGGTAGTTACAGCATGTCTTCACCTATTTATTCATGACATTTCATTACGTCATTGATCAGAAGTGTTCGTATCGAAACAATCACATGATGTCTTCATTCCGTCATGGATTCTTATTCTACTAGACCAGGGGGGTGTTTCACTAAAGCCCTAAAATCGATCTAAAATCGATTTGATCGATTTTAAGGGCCTAAAATTGATTTCGATTTTAGCAGCAGTTTCACTAAATAAATAAAATCGATTTTGGCCTTAAAATCGATTTTAAGTTAGAGTGTGATCCATATCAATTTTAAATCAATTTTATCCTTATTTATTGCATTATTGATATGCTATGTTCAGCATTCATTGGTTTCAAAGGCGCAAGTGTCGGCTAGCTTCAATTTGAACATACATCTGAAAATGAAGAATTATGTTCTTGGGGGAACAAATCTTTGTTCATAACCAATTTTTTTTTAAAATCATCATAGTTAGGCATTGTCAATACCAAATGTGGCACTCTGGAGGGGGGGGGGAGGGGGAGCACAATGGCCCATTTTTTTCTTCAAAAATACATGGGCGGCCCATTTTCCCCTTAACCCTATCTAGCCGAGCGGGCCTTATCCAGCCGGCGGCACGGGAGGGGGCCCAATTCGTGAGACAATATTTATCAGCGAAACAGCCGGCCGATAATTCGCTCAGTGGGGGGAGGGGGGGGGGGGTAGTGAACAGTAAAAAAAAAATTATTGGGGGGGCCCTCGAAAATTTTAAAAATCGTACCCCCCCCCCCCACCCCCTTGAGCGCCAGGGGAGGGGGCCCATCTAAAAAAAAAAAACGGTACAGTTAACGTGTTCTTACACGTTTTTTTCTCCAGGGGAGAGGGCCCGGACCCTCCAGGCTATGCAGTTTCAAAATAACCCATGCTAGCCCCTTTTACATCTGATTAACATCCCTTTTTGTTTATTACAAGTGCACTTTTCCTTCATGTAGTTTGTCCCGTTTCACTTTGTTTTAAAGTTCCTTTTGTTATTTCTAATAACTTTTTATGTTTTCTTCTTAGAAGTGACCCTTTTCCATTTTGTTATGTGCCCCTTTTCTATATTTTTTTTTACCATATGCGCTTACAATTATGTGTCCTTATTTCGTTCATATTCTCTCTCTCTCTCATTAACATAAAACGACATTCCCATCACAACGCTTTGCTTGCCGTAATTTTGTTTCTTCATGAACACCCCCCCCCCCCTTCCCCCACAAAAAAATAAATAAAGAACAAAAATGAATAAATAAACACCAACTTATAACAATAACTCACCAGCATACAAACACACCATTCTTGAATCACATCATTGCCCTTTATCATCATGTAATTATTATCACCATGCGCTAGCATACAATCTCATCTATTCATCCCCCCCCCCCTTTTATCTTCTTAAAAGACAAAAAAAAATACATACAAAATAAAATTAACACAGATTTTAAAGTATAATCAATATGTTTATGCTTTAATGAATGAAATCTACATTTTGTAAATGATGAGCATAGCAAACACATTCAAGGGATACAATTGCAATATTTTAAATGACACAAATAAAAGTGCTCCTATGAAACCAATAGTCCAATGGCTTCTATTGGTAAATCAATAATGATCAATCAAAATCGATTTTAGCAACTGTCCACCAAAAAAAAGTATATTTGCTACGAACGCACTTTAAGCACCAACAGGTAATTATCGATACATAGTCATGCAAGAAGTGCCTCTAGGAAGAGTTCCAAATAGGTCATCAAACTGCTGCTCAGATGAATTGCTAATTAAGAAATTCCAATTTGATATTTTAAGATTTATTGCCATGAACAAAATTATCTATGTAATGTGAGTTTGGTAACAATAACCTCCATGACAGAATAATAGCTTTTTATTTCTTCTCTTTTTTTCTGCAAGATTCTAAAATTCTGTTTAAAATATAGGAAATCTTGGAAGTATCATTAAAACGTTTACTCTTAAGATATTTTATGTTAACATTTTATCAAACCCAAAACCACAAACTCGATGGTAAAATTTTAGTACCTTGACTGGAGCATTTTTAATAGCTTATAGGAATTAATTTATAAATCTTATTTTACAAGTAGTGTTGGTTGTAAAAAGTGACCAGTCCATGATACCAAGATCTGTATCTCATTGTGGTTCCTCTTGCTTAAAGCTGGAAAAGGGAGCTTCTATCTATAGGCTGGCTGATGTTTCATAAGAGGCATAACGTTGCAGGTAATTCAGGCTCTGCAGTCTAGAATAGGAATTGAAAGTTATGTAATAAATGAATCAATTACTAAATACTAGTACAACTTTTCAATCAATCTTCAACTTTTGTATTTATGATTATTTCAAATACTTTAATTGCTAAATAAATAAAGTAGGAGAATAAAAAATAGTTACAGAAGATAAATGATTAATTGTTTGCTTTGGATAAAAAAAAAAAATATCCTTTCATTACCATTTGTGTATGTTTTATCTAACAGAATGGGTAAGATGGGTATTAGACTTCTTACAAGGATTATGAAAAATGATAGATCAATTTTGGTAATTGATACTGCTTACCTTTTCAATTTGAAGAGATGGACAATAAATGTTTGTCATGAACTAGCAGTATATGCAGATGCCATAGCTCTTTATTTTGCAACCTAGGATTTAAAACAGAGATACATATATTTGTTATGAAGAGAGCATATCTATTTTTCAGAAAAGTAATTGTCACTGTATCAAATGTGTTCAAAAGAACATAAGTACATTTTTATCAGTAATTACAACAGTAATTTACATGTATTCGGTCCAAGACATTGTTACCAACCAAATTGTAAGTTTTAGACATTTGGAAGATTGACTATGGAGTCTAATCTTGATCGCGGATACCCTGCTCTTGAACCAAACACTGTTGTACACAGATTCAATGAACATTCCCCTGTCGTGAGTAGAAGGCAAAGAGGTATAAAACAAACAGAGCAGCTTTCATCATACATATATTCTCATTACAGTTTGTTCAATCACCTCTTTATACATTAATTGCTGCCGTATTATTTGTACAATATTAATCAGGCTGGCTGATGGAGTAATTTATCTATGATTTAGACATGTCATAGTTGACTTCCCCCTCACATGGATTTATCAGTTTGCGATTGTGCGTAGAAAATTTAATGAAAATCAAGATTTACACTCAACAACAAATAAGTAATCTATTTATACATAGGTCTAGAAGAACCACACACAAAAAAATTTACCTTTGTTTTATTATTGGTGTGCAAATTTTACTAGTAAGAAGATCACTCCACAAGGCCGCTTAGCACAGTAGGTTCTATAGCTGTACACCTAGACATTGAGCTTGAGTACATTCTGCATATCCAAACCCTTTCCTTGAGCCCGAGGCCAAGGAAGAATGAGAAGTCCAAGACTGTAGAGACACGGCAGAAGAGAACTTTTGAGTCTTGGACTAAAGCCAAGGTGTATTTGGTGGATACGACTTGTGGTCCACTCCATCTTTTAGTCCAACTCTGAAATTAAAAAAAAAAGAAGTTAATTCTAGTATAGTCTATAGCTTGGAGTTGGACTGTGTGAGGGACCCTAATACCAGGGACGGATCAAGAGGGGGGGGGGCACAGGGGGCACGTGCCCCTCGGCCCCCCCCCCTCCCCCCAAAAAATGTTAAAATCAGCAAAATTTTCCAAAAATGTACTAACAGGGAGTGCCCCCCTCCCCCCCCCCCCCCCCCGGCCAAATAAAAAAATAAGTGTTACCTTCCGCCCCCCCCCCCCCCCTCCACTGAGCGAATTTGCGGCCGGCGCGATTTTCAAATATTCGGGACCTAAAACAAAAAGAAATGCGCTCTTTACCCCCCCCCCCCCCCCCCCCCCCACCTCACTTACAGGTCTACATCTACCCTAGATCTAGATCTATCAAGTATCATGTAGATCTAGACCTAGACTCTAGACTAAATCTACATCTAGAGTAGATCTAGACCTGGGTCTGACAGTAACAATCTAGGACCTCTAGATCTAGATCTAGAGTCTAATTTTCTTTCATAGAATTTTACCTTCAAAACAATAATCCTAGAATCTATTGATTTTTAATAATTAGGCCCTAGGCCTAGCCCTAGACCTAATAGATCTAGACCTAGTAGAGTCTAGATCTATCATTTATAAGTAGACCCTAGGCCTAGATCTATAGACTAGACTAGTCTAGATCTAGAGTCTAGAAAATCTAGACCTAGACTAGACTAGTCTCTAGATCTAGACTCTAGATCTAGATATAGATCTAGTCTAGATCTACAAAAATACATCAACAAAAACAAGACAATGCTAAAATAAATAAGGGATAGGTCTAGGGTCTATATCTAGGGCCAGGCCTAGATCTAGGCCTAGATCTTGATTCTAAGCCCAAATCTACAACTAGTAGCATAACTAGTAAAACCACAATACTACTGCAAGAATAAACTAGACTAATGAGTTTGTACCTGTCTGTCCTAAAACCGAATAATAAACGTTGTTAGGAAATTACTATTGAACCTGCATGAATTTATATGAATGGGACTGAAATGGTTGAACCGGTGCAATTCGTCCACTTAGAGAGTGATATAAATTGATTTTATTTAAGATTTCGTTCAGTTACACAAAAATGAAATTGCATAATAATGAGAGGAACACTTTTCTTCTTCCAAAATAACAGATTTGTTACCGACAGAATTGATATTTTCAAAGAAAAACATTATTTTACTTACTTTTCAAGGACTCTCACTGTAGTTAAGCAAGGCCATTTTGTGATCGATTTACCCCAAATTGACTAGCATTGATTGCAGACACCTAAAAATCTATTTTAGCTTAAAATCGATTTGATGAAACAGCTCACATGTATCGGTTTTAAGCTAAAACTGATTCGGCCTTAAAATTGATTTTTAAAATCGAAATCGATTTTAGTTGATGAAACACCCCCCAGTTAAACCAAACGCTGGTGACAAATCAATAGTAGTAGTAGTAGTAGTAGTACATAGTAGTAGTAGTAGTAGTAGTAGTAGTAGTAGTAGTAGTAGTAGTAGTAGTACATAGTAGTAGTAGTAGTAGTAGTAGTAGTAGTAGTAGTAGTAGTAGTAGTAGTAGTAGTAGTACATAGTAGTAGTAGTAGTAGTAGTAGTAGTAGTAATAGTAGTAGTAGTAGTAGTAGTACTAGTAGTAGTAGTAGTAGTAGTAGTAGTAGTAGTAGTAGTAGTAGTAGTAGTAGTAGAAGTAGCAGTAGCAGTAGCAGTAGTAGTAGTAGTGGTAGTAGTAGCAGTATCAGTAGTAGTAGTATTAGTATTAGTAGTAGTAGTAGTAGTAGTAGTAGTAGTAGTAGTAGTAGTAGTAGTAGCAGTAGCAGCAGCAGCAGCAGCAGTAGTAGTAGTAATAGTATCAGTATTATTTATATTAAGAAGTTTTACAGACTTTAGGCTTCTAAATCTCTATTAATTCATGCAGCCATTCATCAAAATAAGTCTTTCACTGGCCCATCATTTCCTCCATACGCATCCACTTATATTCTCACACTCTTTATGCATAATCATTCAATCACTTTACTAACAAAAATTATATCAATTTGCACTTTACAATTTTTTGTTTACATCAGGGGGAAATTTAAAAAACAAATTGTATTATTTGCTAACATCCAAAATAACCCCCAAGTCAATATTCATCAGATTGATACACACATGGATTACCTTTGAAACAGGAGTTATTATATTATCAAATCAACCAAGTTTTACCTCTGTAGTGTTATGCGCGTGGACATGTACATGTCGGTGCTGGCCAAAACTGCAACACAGGCCTATTCTTTGATAGAGCGAGAGAGAATAATAGAGATACATGTATATATAGTGCATGAGTTATTTCAAATTTATTGCAAAAGATATATCCCACAGTTTAGAACTTTTATTAAATGATTAGTATAAAAATAGAAATTGTCCACATACAACATATAATCATTGATCTGATAAAATTGAAATATAAACTTAAAAGATAGTAAAGTATAGTAAAGTATAGTGACAATATATGCAAAGGTAACATTATACATATTACAGTTTCCATTTCTGTGTTTCAGCTCTGAATTAGATAAAAATAAGTAGATACATTGTTAAAACACCAATTCAAACATTTAAAAATATTAAATAATGTTCAACACTTAACATTGGTGTGCTATTCTTTTTTTGTACAAATTAACCACAAAAAAAGTTCAAGGAAATAAAACCAAAATACACAAAACATTAGCTAATAATCCTATCCATTATTACTAGCCAGTCAAAAAAAATCTTGAGATTATTCATATGATTAATTGGAGAGGAAACATTATCTCCCAAGTTTGCAGTTTCTTTTCTAGCCATTCTCCCATGGGAGCTGCCATCTTGATTTAAATAGTGATACTGTCAGAGTAGTACATATCCATTGACCTGCATAAGATGGATGTAGGTTGCATAATGACTGGCTATCGTATAATCAAAGTCATTGATGCAAACAACAGTTATCTTGTTATTCCTTTGAGCAGTTCAATGTTTTGACTTTGTCAATCTTTTGAATTATGGACAAAGCTTTGTCTGACCAAGCAACAACTTCTGCATGCATAATGTTGTTTAACAAAAGAAATTGCTCAGGTTTTCCAAACAGCTGAACCAAATTTCTTGTCCCAGTAGGTGATGAAAGAATATCCATTCATCTGAAGGCATTACCAAAATGGTCTCTTTTTAAAAAGGCCTTTTTATGGCTGCATTTAACAGGCGATTGTCCTACATTGCAGCTTAAATACAGGTCAGTGGGTATTTCACAAGTTGTACTACCCTGACATCTCTATTTCAATCAAAATGGCAGCTACCAAGGAGAATGGCTAGCAAGGAACATCAAACATAGGAAATACTGTTTTCCTTACTAAACAATCCAATACAAGTAATTTCAAGTTATTTTTAACCGACTAACAATTTTGAATAAGATTATCAGTTGATGTTTGTTTGGTTTTATTCTCTTCTAAATACATATGCATAAACACCTCTGTAAGATTTCATCCGCAACTGTTGAATAAGTACTTGTATAGAATAATCTTTTTTTTAAATTAGAGTTCTGTCCATCAGCTGTCTCCTTGAATAATTAAATATTAGCACTTATTGTAAATTTTGTTATCAAGCTGCAATTGTTTCCCATTACATGTAGAGTAATATATAATTTAATGTGGTACAAAGTAGCGAAATACAGTGGAATTTCAATTCAACTTGTTAGAACAATGACATTGGGGCTATTAAAAATAACCTTTTTATATATAATCAGGTATCTGGTTACATCGGAGCTCTTCATAATGAGTTTCCACTGTAGAGGGCGGTGTTACTGCTACTAATCATTGCTTTCATTCTTTGTTGAGAATGACTTTTATATATATAATTTTTACATTACAATTTATTGCAAATTTACATTTATTGAGACAGTTGCTTTGTGATAGTTTCCTTTAAGCACGTTTAGAACACATTCATAAATCAGTAAATCAACGTAAATAATCCCAATATATATTTGTAAACAGGAATGTAGAAGTGCACAAGTATAAGTCATATAGTGATGAAATATTGTACCTACATAATAATATAATAATAATATAAAAGCACACAAGTTGCAATGCAAAAAGTAAAGCAGCATCTTTAAAAGTTTCAGGAGGATGTCATTTCAGTCCACGCACTTACGGAAGAGCAGCAGTGCAGATTGGTACCGTCAGTTTTTTACTGTGATGAACTAAATTGATTAATGACCAAATAAAACTGAGGGAGAAAATATCTCTCTTGAATTCCATTACGATTCTTTAAAATTCTGTGATAAATATCGCTATTTCACCATTTCTAATTAAATTTCTTTCACCTGTAAATGTCTGGCTAATTGCACACTGTTAAAAGTCCTTTCTCCAATCCAATAACATTTTCAAAAAGAAATGAGAGGGGAAAAAATTAATTCTACTAGGATACTTTTTTAATATGTTTATACATTTTGAGTCATAATTGCTCAGAAAACTTTAGTTTGCATATAACAAATTCAGTTGTAATTCATAAGAGTTCTGTAACATCTCTTCAAACAATATTAAAATATGTTTATATATTTTGAGTCATAATAACTCAGAAAACTTTAGTTTGCATATGAAAAGTCAGTTGTAATTTATAAGAGTTCCGTAACATCTCTTCAAACAATATTAATGCATTAATATAGCGCTTAGAGACTTCGGTGGTAAGCACTTTATAAGCACCGTCTTTATTATTATTATTGTTGTTGTTGTTGTTGTTGTTGTTGTTGTTGTTGTTGTTGTTGTTGTTGTTGTTGTTGTTGTTGTTGTTGTTGTTGTTGTTGTTGTTGTTGTTGTTGTTGTTATTATTATTATTATTATTATTAATTATTATTATTATTATTATTATTATTATTATTATTATTATTATTATTATTTATTATTATTATTATTATTATTATTACTATTACTATTATTATTATTATTATTATTACTATTACTATTACTATTATTATTATTATTAATTATTATTATTATTACTATTATTATTATTATTAATTATTAATAATTTTTATTATTATTATTATTATTATTATTATTATTATTATTATTATATAAATGTGCATACCCTTCCCCACTTTGACTTCCATTAAGAATACAATTCATAGAATAGTACTACTGTGCATTAAACCTGTCATATTCCACATCACCATTCGGTACTAAGAGTGATCACCTTTGAATAGTTTGAGACGAGTTGTAACTTATTGAGTTTGTTATAGGTCAAAAGTGGCAAATACCTTCATTTTGACATAAATTGTTTATACCTTTTTTATAGTAGATTGCACACCACAAATAAAGACATTCAAAAGCAGCATTATATATAAATACAAATAAAGAACAGATGGCGCAGTACGTTGTTAGAAGTCTTAATTAAACATTGCCATGTATCTACCAATAAACAGGAGAAGCAAGTCAAGGACTTTGCCCTGTAAAAATAACCAATGCAGAAATGCCTCGTATAACGACAAGAATTTGTCTTTTCAAATCTTTGTTATAATAAAGCAGAGCAGATAAAAATCTGTAATACCATCTTTAAACCTGCAAAATAACAAATGCAGAAATACCTTGTACAGAGACAAGAAATTGTCTTTTCATACCTTTTTTTATAATGAGGCTGGACAGATAAACATCTGTATTACTATCTTTAACCCTGCGAAATAATCAGTGCAGAAATATCTCGTATAAAGACAAGAATTTTGTCTTTTCATACCTTTGTTATAATACAGCAAAGCAGATAAACATCTGTAATACTATCTTTAACCCTGCAAAATAACCAGTGCAGATCATGTATAGAGTCAAGATATTTCACCATGCCTAGAACCCCAGCAATTATGCACTGCTTTCATTTTGTATTGTTAATGTGAAAATTTTGTTATGTTTATTACAGATATATAGACGGCAAAAAGACAAGTCATGACTGAATTCTTTGAATAAACAGGTATCTTCAACATGCATGTCACGTAGGACAAAGACATGAAATGAACAAATACCGGTAACTGTTTGAGGCAAGCAGACAGTTAACACTTTAATGACTAGGTAATGGAGCTTTCACATATACACTCCGGGGCCTGTACGGCAAGTAAAAACAAACATTTTGGGAATTTTCGTCCAATGCCCGACCGGCTCCCGTACAGTTCCTATGGGCGCCGGGATATTTTCACCAGCTGTACGGCCGCGGTGGTGCTGAGTTGGCTGCTCCCAATTTTC